GTAACTTGAAATTAAAACATTCTGAGTTAAAAAAAAAAAAACATGATATAATAGTCAATACACTAGATTAAAATATCCATACAAGACTATCACTGATTTTGAACTTAATACTTTTTTTATAAATATTTCCTGGATAATGCCTTATTAGTCTACTGAAAATGGTTCAAATATGCACTTTGTTTTTTTTTATTCTCCTCTAGAACCAAAATGGAAATGAACAGCACATTTCAAAAACTTTGGAATTCAAACCTCAAAAAGTCCCAGCCAAACGAGGAAGAAAACGAAAAGGTGAAGGTATTCTCAAGGAAGAACCAGTTGATGATAAAAGGTTTAAACAAATTCATAGACAACGTTCTTTGGCTGCAACAGGAAAATACAACTTGAGAAAAACACGGAAAGCCTTAGTTGTTAGTGAGGTACAGTTGTTTTATGCAATTGTAAGAGATTCTTTATGTCATTGTCAGTGTGTTAATTTTTTAAACCTGTTTGACTGAATACTAATATTTGTAATTGTTTTGTAAAGGTAATGCCGATTAAGATCAAATTAGATTTTTTATGAAATATTAACAACCATCACTTATGATGAAACTTTTGTGTATCTATTGATATGCTAAATTTTTGAATGAAGTTTGAAGATAAACGAATCTATCAAATATGTAATGCAAAACAAAACGTAAACAAAAATTATTTTGCCAAAAAATGGCTACAGAAGTGATAACTATGACATACATTAGTGTTCATAGATTTTCAACTGTCATTTCAGATTTTGGACAAAATTAACTTAATAGCTTATCTAGCCTTCTGGTTTTAGTTCATGAATCAAAGTATTTTCTTACTTGTTTTGTATCAAAGTTCATTTTTTTTCAGATTAGGTTTAATCATGGAAGTTCTTTTTTTTATATCTTTTTTGATTATGTAAATAAATATTTATTTGGTAACAAAAAGTAAGAGCTTTTAACTTATGAAAACTAACATTTGGGAAATACAGGTCAGTTTACCTATGAGGTTCCATTTTGGCATTTCTTTACAATTGTACTTATAAATGAAAGCACTAAAATTTCTGAACATTAAAGACAAAATAATGTAGAAAACATATATTAATTTTTTAAAAATTTGAACTAGTTGCAGATTTTGGGTGTTACTCAGACTTGACTTTATCTGTGGCCACCCAAGTTATTAGAAAAAAATAATTTGCTGAAGTGTTTTTGAACATAAATTTTGAGTGATGTAGATACATTTTTCCAATTGTAAATTTGTAAAGATAAATGATGTTTTTCTCAGATGATCTTTAAATCAATATTATTTGTAGTGTGCTGATAGATTTCCTTTTAGGCTTCTCCAAAATAATTCTCTTATATTGTCAACTCACACATAACTTTTAAGAAGGTTATGTGTTTACAGATTCCACTTTATGTTTAACATATGAAACCAAGTCATCTATTAGTTTTCCTAACATGTATTTATTTCATTTTTGAGTGAAGAGGTGTCCCATGAATGTTAAAACATTTTTTGTTTGTAGAATTTTTGAACAGAGCTAAAATACACACTACTTTTTTCTGATATTAAATTAATATTATTAGTGCTAATATTTCAGAAAATTATCAAGCTTTTTAAATTATTTTCATTTTATTTTTGTTTCACAATTTAAAACAAATTATTTCTATTGAAATAAAAATAGTTTGTGTCATGTACATTTCATAGTTGATTCAGTTTTAAATAATACTGAAATATATTTTAATTCATTTTGTATTTGTTCACCCAGTGGTTCATTGGTGAGCTTGAGGACTCTTTAATACTAGAATTCAGACCAAAATTCCTACAATAGAGACTATGCAGCTTTGTATTAAGACAAACATCTAACTGTCAGTTAAACAACTACAATTGGTGTTAAATATTGTGAGGAAAGACTTTGAAAATATTATTGGAATAACCATGGAAAGAAGGAATAATAATAGTTAATTAACTCTATTACTAAATTATAATAAGTAGATAATAGTCCAAAATATAACTTCTCTTCATTCAACGTAAATGTTTATAAAGTTCTTCGAAAACAATTTCAGAAATAACTAGAAAATTTTTTTGCAAAATAAGAAACTATTTTATTCTAGTTTCCAGTTGTATCCACGCTTTAAATTTTGCAGGAAGACTCGGAGGACAGTGATGCACTCTTTATTGATGAAGGATCTGATGAGGATGAAGATGATTATGATAGCCTGTTGGATGATGAAGATGATTTTGATGATTTTGAATATGAGATGTATGAAAGTGCTAGGGCCTCAGAAGAGATAAGAACAGTTTCCAAAGGTACACTCCCTCCTCCATGAAATGAATAATTAATACTATAATTGCACATTTTATTTAATTCTTAATAAATATTTTTCCAAGTAATTTTAAACATTTTTTTTAGTACAAAATAATTAGATTACTAAAGATGCTGACTTAATCTGTTCAAAAGATAACATTATAGTTACTAAGACATGCTTGTTTTACCATGAAGAAAACATTTGATGAGTCAAAGGGGACTCTTTGTTTGTAATGTTAAGGGATAATTCTTGAATATGATGTCATATTACTTTAAAAAAGCATAATTTTGGGGTTTTTGGTCAATTACACAGCTATATTTTGACCAATTTACATGGGAGTTGGTATAAAGATACTTTTCTACAGGTTCCACACATTAACAAACAAATATGGTGGACTTGCCCATTTTTCTGTGTTTTGCACAATTTTTCTGGTGTCAAAATTGGCCATGTTTTGGATTGTGTGGTGGAGACATGTTGCATTTGCCCAGAAATGTTAGCCTTTTTAATTTAAATAAGTATTTTGTGTTTCTTGTATGCTGGTTCTTTTTGGTATTAGTGAGACTTATTTTTCAGTAGAAAGCAGAGATCTTTAGGAACTCTATGAATTGGATAACATTTTTTGCACTACATTTCTTTTGAGGTGATAAGGAGAGAGTGAGAACCAAAAAAAAAAAATGCATGTTAAAGACCAGTCATGTAATGGTATTATTCTTAGCTTTACAAATGTAGCTGGTGATTAAGGAAGTATACATGATGATTGATGCCACTTTAAGTATTACTTTGTAAGTAAATGTAAAATGGTCTGCTGCTTATTCATATATTTTTTCAGTATATAAACTATTAACTCTTTCCAGATGGGTCACTGGTCAAAGGCCATGTCATCGTGCTTTTGTTGACTTGCATTCAAAACTTTATTGAACTATTATTTTACGAATTTATATCAATAAGTTTAGTATCAAACTGTAGATTATAATTCATATTTTAGTATTATACTTTTTTAATTTCTTAATTTAAAAGTAAGTATTAAAAAACACACCCAAACATCAATTTTTCTGTGTCGCGTGGTATGTTGAATGTAGCACTGGTTCAAATTAGATGTTTGTGATGTCAAAATACTAA